CTTAATCCGATTTTTAAGTGGCATACCTCTAAATGTTTGTGGTGCAATTCTCTAAACAACTGCATTCAAATATAGAATTTTTTTTTTTTTTTAATTTTTTGTCATTTTTTGATGTTATGATGTTGAAGAAATTCAAAAAAATGAAGAAATGTCCCAAGGCTGAAGTTCTAAACCCCATAACTCAAGTTATCTTTATCGGATTTTGAAGTGGCATACTTCTAAATGTTTCTGGCGCAATTCTCTAAACAACTGCATTCAAATTTAGAAATTTATTTTTTTTTCAATTTTTTTTCATTTTTTGATGTTATGATGTTGGAGAAATTCAAAAAGTTAAAAAATGACCCAAGGCTGAAGTTCAAAACTCCATAACTCAAGTTATCTTAATGGGATTTTGAAGTGGCATACCTCTAAATGTTTGTGGTGCAATTCTCTAAACAACTGCATTCAAATTTAGAAATTTATTTTTTTTTTAATTTTTTGTCATTTTTTGATGTTATGATGTTGAAGAAATTCAAAAAAATGAAGAAATGTCCCAAGGCTGAAGTTCAAAACTCCATAACTCAATTTATCTTAATCGGATTTTGAAGTGGCATACCTCTAAATGTTTGTGGCGCAATTCTCTAAAAAACTGCATTCAAATTTAGAAATTTATTTTTTTTTTAATTTTTTGTCATTTTTTGATGTTATGATGTTGGAGAAATTCAAAAAGTTAAAAAATGTCCCAAGGCTGAAGTTCTATACTCCATAACTCAACTTATCTTAATCCGATTTTTAAGTGGCATACCTCTAAATGTTTGTGGTGCAATTCTCTAAACAACTGCATTCAAATATAGAATTTTTTTTTTTTTTTAATTTTTTGTCATTTTTTGATGTTATGATATTGAAGAAATTCAAAAAAATGAAGAAATGTCCCAAGGCTGAAGTTCAAAACTCCATAACTCAAGTTATCTTAATCGGATTTTGAAGTGGCATACCTCTAAATGTTTGTGGCGCAATTCTCTAAAAAACTGCATTCAAATTTAGAAATTTATTTTTTTTTTAATTTTTTGTCATTTTTTGATGTTATGATGTTGGAGAAATTCAAAAAGTTAAAAAATGTCCCAAGGCTGAAGTTCTATACTCCATAACTCAACTTATCTTAATCCGATTTTTAAGTGGCATACCTCTAAATGTTTGTGGTGCAATTCTCTAAACAACTGCATTCAAATATAGAAATTTTTTTTTTTTTTAATTTTTTGTCATTTTTTGATGTTATGATATTGAAGAAATTCAAAAAAATGAAGAAATGTCCCAAGGCTGAAGTTCAAAACTCCATAACTCAAGTTATCTTAATCGGATTTTGAAGTGGCATACCTCTATATGTTTGTGGCGCAATTCTCTAAACAAATGCATTCAAATTTAGAAATTTATTTTTTTTTTAATTTTTTGTCATTTTTTGATGTTATGATGTTGAAGAAATTCAAAAAAATGAAGAAATGTCCCAAGGCTGAAGTTCAAAACTCCATAACTCAAGTTATCTTAATCGGATTTTGAAGTGGCATACCTCTAAATGTTTGTGGCGCAATTCTCTAAACAAATGCATTCAAATTTAGAAATTTATTTTTTTTTTAATTTTTTGTCATTTTTTGATGTTGAAGAAATTCAAAAAAATGAAGAAATGTCCCAAGTCTGAAGTTCTAAACCCCATAACTCAAGTTATCTTTATCGGATTTTGAAGTGGCATACCTCTAAATGTTTGTGGCGCAATTCTCTAAAAAACTGCATTCAAATTTAGAAATTTATTTTTTTTTTAATTTTTTGTCATTTTTTGATGTTATGATGTTGGAGAAATTCAAAAAGTTAAAAAATGTCCCAAGGCTGAAGTTCTATACTCCATAACTCAACTTATCTTAATCCGATTTTTAAGTGGCATACCTCTAAATGTTTGTGGTGCAATTCTCTAAACAACTGCATTCAAATTTAGAAATTTATTTTTTTTTTAATTTTTTGTCATTTTTTGATGTTATGATGTTGAAGAAATTCAAAAAAATGAAGAAATGTCCCAAGGCTGAAGTTCAAAACTCCATAACTCAAGTTATCTTAATCGGATTTTGAAGTGGCATACCTCTAAATGTTTGTGGCGCAATTCTCTAAAAAACTGCATTCAAATTTAGAAATTTATTTTTTTTTTAATTTTTTGTCATTTTTTGATGTTATGATGTTGGAGAAATTCAAAAAGTTAAAAAATGTCCCAAGGCTGAAGTTCTATACTCCATAACTCAACTTATCTTAATCCGATTTTTAAGTGGCATACCTCTAAATGTTTGTGGTGCAATTCTCTAAATGTTTGTGGTGCAATTCTCTAAACAACTGCATTCAAATTTAGAAATTTATTTTTTTTTTAATTTTTTGTCATTTTTTGATGTTATGATGTTGAAGAAATTCAAAAAAATGAAGAAATGTCCCAAGGCTGAAGTTCAAAACTCCATAACTCAATTTATCTTAATCGGATTTTGAAGTGGCATACCTCTAAATGTTTGTGGCGCAATTCTCTAAAAAACTGCATTCAAATTTAGAAATTTAATTTTTTTTTAATTTTTTGTCATTTTTTGATGTTATGATGTTGGAGAAATTCAAAAAGTTAAAAAATGTCCCAAGGCTGAAGTTCTATACTCCATAACTCAACTTATCTTAATCCGATTTTTAAGTGGCATACCTCTAAATGTTTGTGGTGCAATTCTCTAAACAACTGCATTCAAATATAGAAATTTTTTTTTTTTTTAATTTTTTGTCATTTTTTGATGTTATGATATTGAAGAAATTCAAAAAAATGAAGAAATGTCCCAAGTCTGAAGTTCTAAACCCCATAACTCAAGTTATCTTTATCGGATTTTGAAGTGGCATACCTCTAAATGTTTGTGGCGCAATTCTCATTCAAATTTAGAAATTTATTTTTTCTTTAATTTTTTGTCATTTTTTGATGTTATGATGTTGGAGAAATTCAAAAAGTTAAAAAATGTCCCAAGGCTGAAGTTCTATACTCCATAACTCAACTTATCTTAATCCGATTTTTAAGTGGCATACCTCTAAATGTTTGTGGTGCAATTCTCTAAACAACTGCATTCAAATTTAGAAATTTATTTTTTTTTTAATTTTTTGTCATTTTTTGATGTTATGATGTTGAAGAAATTCAAAAAAATGAAGAAATGTCCCAAGGCTGAAGTTCAAAACTCCATAACTCAAGTTATCTTAATCGGATTTTGAAGTGGCATACCTCTAAATGTTTGTGGCGCAATTCTCTAAAAAACTGCATTCAAATTTAGAAATTTATTTTTTTTTTAATTTTTTGTCATTTTTTGATGTTATGATGTTGGAGAAATTCAAAAAGTTAAAAAATGTCCCAAGGCTGAAGTTCTATACTCCATAACTCAACTTATCTTAATCCGATTTTTAAGTGGCATACCTCTAAATGTTTGTGGTGCAATTCTCTAAACAACTGCATTCAAATATAGAAATTTTTTTTTTTTTTAATTTTTTGTCATTTTTTGATGTTATGATATTGAAGAAATTCAAAAAAATGAAGAAATGTCCCAAGGCTGAAGTTCAAAACTCCATAACTCAAGTTATCTTAATCGGATTTTGAAGTGGCATACCTCTAAATGTTTGTGGCGCAATTCTCTAAACAAATGCATTAAAATTTAGAAATTTATTTTTTTTTTAATTTTTTGTCATTTTTTGATGTTGAAGAAATTCAAAAAAATGAAGAAATGTCCCAAGTCTGAAGTTCTAAACCCCATAACTCAAGTTATCTTTATCGGATTTTGAAGTGGCATACTTCTAAATGTTTCTGGCGCAATTCTCTAAACAACTGCATTCAAATTTAGAAATTTATTTTTTTTTCAATTTTTTTTCATTTTTTGATGTTATGATGTTGGAGAAATTCAAAAAGTTAAAAAATGACCCAAGGCTGAAGTTCAAAACTCCATAACTCAAGTTATCTTAATGGGATTTTGAAGTGGCATACCTCTAAATGTTTGTGGTGCAATTCTCTAAACAACTGCATTCAAATTTAGAAATTTATTTTTTTTTTAATTTTTTGTCATTTTTTGATGTTATGATGTTGAAGAAATTCAAAAAAATGAAGAAATGTCCCAAGTCTGAAGTTCTAAACCCCATAACTCAAGTTATCTTAATCGGATTTTGAAGTGGCACACCTCTAAATGTTTCTGTCGCAATTCTGTCGCAAATGTTTCTCTACAAATCTGCATTCAAATTTAGAAATATATTTTTTTTTTCAATTTTGTTGTAGTTTTCTTGATGTGATGATGTTGTAGAAATTCAAAAAGATAAAAAATGTCCCAAGGCTGAAGTTCTATACTCCATAACTTTCTGTCCGTCGGTCCGTATGAAAAGCTAGAATGTTGAGATTAAGTTTGTATCCAAGTTTGTTTTGAAATGTTGCCACACCCACTCGTACGCGCACAAACCGCCCAAAACTGACAGGACAACACTTTTTTTTTTATAGATTTGAAAAATACTTATTGCCACGCCCACACTTTTAAAATTTTTTTACCTTTTTTTTTATTTTATCTTTTTATTTCCAATAACTCAATATTATTCCGATATTCCAGAAAATGTTTGAATTTCTCGTTTGCACTTTCACTAGCTGAGTAACGGGTATCTAATAGTCGGGGAACTCGACTATAGCATTTTATCTTGTTTTTTAATTAGTAACTTATATCCGGTTCTCTTATTTTAAATTCCGTCTGTGTGCAAATACGATAATAGAGCGGTAAATTACATTTAACGTTCGATTCGTTATGGGTTACGATAAAGTAATTACCGGCGAATATGCAAAATTTAAATGTATAGAGGTTTCTGCTTATAAGCCAACCGCGTATATATAAAATGGAAATGTAGATAGCATAACAGATTGGTTTATTTATTTACAATTGTTTGTGAACTACCATGTCCAATCAAAACTTGTATAGTATATAGACCCTTTACTCCATAATGCCAACCTTACTTCTATTTTGTATTCCCAATGATTCGAAAGTATTTAGTTCTTATTCTAGTCCTGGGTTTCCTCGATCTGACCTTCAGTTCATCGGGGTTGTGCGAGGATGGTTTTCTTTTTAACCCCAAAAGGCGAAGATGCGAGCCACAGCCACCTATACAAGCGTCCCCTAATTGCCGACGTACGTAATACATATCCATTTTTGAACATAATACAATGTACTCGTATGTGAACCAAACTCTTTAGCTGGTACGCACTGGATTCCAGAAAAGAAATTTTGTATCAAGTTTCGGCAAGTTATATCTGGATATTACCCTGTAAAACCTGAAGAGTCAACTGAAAACCTGAAGTGCCCTAAAGGATTCGTTTCTATGGGCATTATGTGTGTAAAGGAATTAAACAATAAAAAACCGTCTTCCGTGGAACTCAAGGACGGGCTTGAGCTGGATTTGAACGATGATTTTAAAATTGTCATAAAAGATAAGAAACCTACGACTCCAAAATGATGCATAAATTTCACCATTTACAGTCCATTGAAATAAATACGAAGTGATTGTTGGTCAAAAGCAAGAAAGTGTCAAAAATGTTTGCAAGCTACATGTAAAGCGGAATAAACAGCTCAGGGCGCATTTGTGCGGCGTTTGTCATAATGAACCAAAGCAATCAATGTTAAGCACATTGGTCAATGGAAAAACGATGGAAAACAACTTGTTTACAGGCGGCAGTTTTGCAGAAGAACGAGAAACTATGGCATTTGGTCAACAAATTGAAAGCCTGAAGGAAAGAAAGCCGTGTTTCTGATGTTGTGTTGCTTCACAATAAACTTTTCTGGTATTGATTTTTGCAGTACTATGTATATTTTCGTTTCACTGATTGTCGACGTAAAACACTATTTCGTGTTAACCAAAATTTTCATACGTTACTCGTTTTGCTTTAGAAGTTTAGAACCATTTGAAACATAAATGACCTATCATATACATATAACTACGAATTCTTGGGGGTATGATATGCATTTATTGCACCGGAAATCGCAGTAACAACAGTAGTTATTGCCAATTTTAGGAACCCCCTTCGTTGGCCAGGACTTGCCGTCTCCACGGTGCACTTTGCCGTTGAAATGAGCACATGAGGTGCGAGATTTAGCAGCTAAAGCAGATGCAGATGCGGATGCGGAAAGTCGGATGGTGGAGGACGTGGCATCCGGTGGTGTCGATTGGATGCGGCTGCTTATTTGGCGTGGATTTAGTGGCAATGCCTGATGGCGACTGTCAGCGAGGGAGAAAGGATTTTAGAAATTGAAAGTTGATGTGTGTGCCACTGCACACGTGCGATAAACGTGCAGAAGCACCGCCGAGTGAATGGAATTGTGGGTGCATTTTATGGGCAAAGAGGAAAATGTTAGAACTTTTGTCCCTTTTTCCCTAAGCCAACGCAAATAATGTGATTCCAGCTATACATTTAGCGCTCGTCAAAGGAGCGTTGAAAAGTACTACTAAATTGACATTTGTTTCCTTTTCAGGGCACTCGATGTACCAGCGATTGCTCCATTTTTAGCTTCTGTGCTCACAGGCACAACGCTTTGTTTTGAAAGCCTCATAAATTGCGCATTCGCCATGTTGCACCATCTAGCCGCATGGCTTCTCGCTCCTCAGCACGCATAAATTCAACGGGTGAAATATTTACGAACCGTGAAGCATTGCCGCAAAAAAAAGCAAATGATAAAATGGAACAGCAGTTAACTGAATGCTCCGGAGCACTTTAGACCAGCCGCGTGGTGCACCAGAGGACTGGGAATTTCGAATTGACGCACACCATGCAATGGAATGCAAATTTCTCGCGCTTTCTCTCTGTCCTTTTGGTGGCAAGTTCAATTTGAAAGTCACACCTACACTTGCGCCAAATGTTGATGATGCATTCTCCGCGGATTTCGGGGCGATTTCACTGCGAATTTTCCGCTTCGCCATGTTGCACATTTCCCTCGGGGGTGGGGGTGGGAAAACTCAAATAGTTGTTCGCTTTGACTGTGCCTGCAAACTGTAAGCACTGGCGCAAAGGATAATGCGCTGGAAAATCCCTTTACTGGTCCTCTGACGTCTCAAGTGCCCGGGACTTACCTACACTAGAAATTTACACAGGCCCATCTAGGTCAAGTATTGTCAGAGTCAGCCACATCAACGTCATTGTCATGAAAATTTCTCGTGCTAAAACTGTCACTGAAGCTCATGTCAGTCGCCGGCACAGTGGGCCCAAGAACCTCAAAATTTGTGGGCGGCAGACCAACTGAAAAACGCGCTCTACGACCCATCAGTCAAATGAAAAAGAACTGAGTGCGAATACTTATGTGCCAGCAAGCCACCGAAATGTTTGGAAAATTCAACAGACATTCAAGTATATTTGGACCACCGTTCTTTAAAATGTTCAAATGTCCTTGACGACTGACAGTTCCAGTGGCAGCACCACCGCCGCAGGAAGCCTCTGTTTTCAGGGGAGCAGCTCTCCAGCTCTTGAGGTGGCAAAGAAAATCGTTAAACGTTGGCCATGTGCAGCGAGTGGTTGAGAATGGCTAAGGACTAATGCCAAACTGGCCAGCAAATGAGTGTGATTATGTGATGATGCCATAAGACCAAGTATTTGCATTAGAGAGCTCGAGTATTAAATAAATGTTCATTTAAATCGAGATTTTTACGAAACTATGTCAGCTCTCAAGTCTGGTTAATAATTTAACGGTTAACTAATCCAGTTTTTAGAAACCTACCAATAGCACTGATACTAAATTAAACCAAATCCACTTAAAATATCGATATTTCCATATTTCCTTATAGCGCATGATAAACAAGAGAGTTGCATCTTTATTGTATTTATTTTTATTACTCAATTAAAATTTAGTTGGGACATTCTTTGTTTGTTCGGCTTGTATATGGTTTGCTTTCATATTCTGGTTTCTTCATTTCATTTATCCACATATAATTGGTTTTACCCATTTGCTTTTTAAATGTAATAATTTTATGCAATTTATTTGAATTTGACTTTGATCTCTAATATAATTTCAATTATGTTCATTAGCTTGTTATTAATTCTTTGTAGTTAATTGATTTGAATTTTAAATATTTCTTTATTGGCTTCGCTTGCCACATGGTAACAATTTTCTCAGCTGTGGCCGAAAAAAAATATTTTCCAATTCAACTCGGTCTAGTACCTGTCTTTGCTTTTGTATAGGTATATATATATATGTGTGTATTTCAGTTTCCCTCTTGAGGATCAATTGTTAAGTAGACAAATATTGTAATACACTTGGTAGAAAAACGAAAATTGTGCCACCAGATTAGTTATCTTAGTTATCATGTTCATTGACTTTTCAGTTTATATAGAGCCCGAGGGCTGAAAAATTGTTGAGTTGACGACTCGAAGCTGCTTCATGTTGCTTGGGTACCCCTAATTTGCCTTAAATTGAAACAACATTGAGTTTCTTTGGTTTCTAATTCATATTCATACGCTTGTAGGTACAATTAATTTTTTACTTTTGGCATTGGCCAGACAAAATGGAAATGATTTCCCAAAAATTTGTTCAGCAGTTTCCTTGCATTTGTCTTTTGTTTTGTTTCTTTTGGTTTCTCATTTCCCTACAATAAAGTTTATGGAACATCGTGCCTTTTATTTATTATTTTGTAACATTAGGTTTTTCTTTGACAATTTAACGTTAGTTCACATTATTTTTGTTTATTTTGCTTTAGTTACGGTCTTGGGTTTAATAAGAAAGTCCAAAAACGAAATGTTATTTAATTAAATATAAACTAATACCAATTTATTAAGTTACGACTCTAAAGGTTAGTAATAGAACAAGACAAGCCGCAAAATTGTATCTGTAAGTGTCGCTTTTCGCCGAATCATCATTCGCAAAATGTGGTTTCACTATTAATTTATTAAAGCTTTGCAAACTAAATGTAACTTTGCCCTCGACTTAATTTATTTAATAATTATGAGAATCCTTGGGTTCGCCATTCAGGCTAAAACAAATTCACTAAAAGTTTACAATTGTGTGCCCTCATCTCGATTGGCCTTTTACACATTTACAATTTACCAATATTTTTTTGTTTTTCACTTGCGTAAGCATTAAGTAAGCTTCATCTGTGACTAGCCCATCGAGGGCAATGAAAATTCAACTGGTGAGCTCCTTACTCGGGATTGGCATCCTTGCGGGTCTTGTGGCCCCGGAACGAGGCCTGAATTTTGGTTGCAGCCTTGTTCAGCTCGGGATCGGTTAAATCTATGTCCAACTCCTCGGCCACCTTCTTGGTTATCTCCTGGATGTCCTCGTCCTCGGGCGCATCCTTGTTCACCAGCTTGCGTGCCAAATGACCACGGAAAGTGGACTGAATCTTCAATGCAGCATGGCACAGATCTGCGGAGAAGGGAGACAAAAACGGGTAGTTTGTGTAAATTAGTGTTCTAGTTCCGCTTAAGTGCCCACTTGGCCAACTCCCCGAAAAAAAAAGAAATAACGTAGAAAATAGTTTTAAAACTTGTCTGGTGTTTCTTGGGCAATTGAAACTTTGGATGATACTCAAACATTCGCCTGAATTGCTTGTAAACTTTTTTCAATTAGCTTCGGTCCCTCGGCTTGCTGGCTTCAACTGCGCTTGTATTGTTTATACTATAATTTATTGTTCTAGTTTCCTCCATCACTATTTATTTCTCTATCTGACCACCGCTTCGCATTTTATAGCCCAACACTGACCATAATTTATCCATGGATCCCAGACTGCTTGTAAAAAAGGGAACTAATCGAAATCACGATGCGAATTACTCCCCCAGCGCTCTTCACAGTGTTTAGTACTCCCTTTCTTCGACCACGTTGCCCGGGCTAATCTCATTACGTATACGCAATGTTGGGCGACGGGGGACGCATATTTTCTGCATATATAATCCACATCAACTGCTGAAGAGATGGACGAGTGGATGGACTGACCACAAAATTCAGCTGGCATCTGGCCAGGATGCATGTGGTTGTGGTTAAGTCACGCGTGTCTCTTGCTACGTGCTATTTTAGCTCCGTTTTCCGCCAGAAGAGCTCATTCTAATTAGCCAGTAATTGTGTAAAAGCGTTCAGGAAATACGTGTGCTTGGTACCACAGGAAAAACCATTAAATTATGCACAGCTTTCAGCGAGTTTTGCAAGAACGCGCTTTTTCTATGTTGTCAGTCGCAAGATTACATCATTGCATCTGTCGTTTTTCCACTTTTTGTCATCTTTTCCCATTGCTCTTGTGCATTTATGCAAATTCCGAGAAAATTCTCATTTAAAAATTCGGAATTTTTGTTCAGATTTGCCGCTACAAGACTGCATACATTTAACTTGGCCAATTTCCGCAACAAAATCCGGCATTTTCCTGCGGGCCAAGTTAGCCCCACATGGCCATGCAAATATTTCTAGAGGATAAAATGGCGGGCAAGTGGTTTTGCGTTAATTCGCTAAGCGTAATTGGAGCTAGGCCAAGATAAGCATTTGGCCCACGGACTGGGACCAGCGCAGTCCTGCTCCAAGACTTATGGCATGTAATATTTGATCAAATTACGCACACACGGCGGCTACACAACGTGACCCGGCCGAACGGCACGTTCCATTTGCCACTGCTGCGTTTATGTTTATTTATAAAATATTTAAAAATATCTGCGAGACGTGCAAATGGCTGTATAGCGCCATCAGCCGCGCTCCGACGTTTCAGAGACGCAGGACCTGCAGGTCCTGTGAGTGCCAACTAGTTATCCATTGTAAGCCGAGCTGAGCTGCTCCTGCTGCTTGGTCAGTAATCAACATCAACCTGTTCTGCTAGATTTTACCTGTAACTCTTTTTCACGTATTTTTCCAGCTCTACTGCCTATTTTTCCATCTGCACAATACAAAATATATTTCCTATCGATTGGGTCCGTATGAATCTACAAAAGCTGACCATGCGGATTCTAGTTTCGCTGTGTGTATATATTTACTTCATTAGCTGAGTATACAAACTACTACCAATACAAAGAACCACATGCCTCTGTTCCTCAAAAAAGCTATAAAGTGGTTCGTCTTGCACTGCCAATTACTATAGCATACTCCATGGCTGTTTCTCTTAGTGGGAACTTTTTTGTGAGGGATTTGCACATGTCGCCGGCCATGCAACACATGCTAAAAGCCGATCACGTACACTGCGTGTCCTGTCACAGGACCGCATAAGTCCAAAATCTAAGCTACAGTGTCTGAAAAGTTGTCAGCAGGCCGCATGCATGTTGCTTTTGGTGCCTCTCACTGGTTCGGTTCGCTTTTGCCTTGGTCCTGCTATCTGCTATCTGCTATCTGCTATCTGCTTGATGTCCTGATGTTCCGATGTCCTGCCTGCCGTCGAGGCATACAAATTGAGTTTACTTTCCTTTCTGGCGAAATGTCACTGCTTCTGTGTGGGCCTTGGTAGTAATTCCTGGGGGCGTTGGCTGTAGAAAGGGGGCGGGCCGCACACCTTGCCTGATGTTAGCCAAGGGATTCGGGTTTTTGCATGTCCGGAGCTTCGGGGCAATCGGTCACGTCGCCCTGATTGACTGACTAACACGCCGCTCGGTATTTTAAGAATATTTTTTTTTGCTTTCCCCGGAGTTTGCTTAATTTGCATGCTGGCTCTGGTCTCTTTAACGTTTCCACATTTCCTTCAGTTGCAGGTATTTTAACTTTTATTTCTTTAACCCCATTTCCAGCATCAGTCGAGCGTTAATACCCAAAGGATATGGAATCAATCATAAGCCACACCAACTGCACTTTTCACCCGTCTTTCGGTTTCCCCTTATTGCGAATATTGAGTGGGGACAGCGTGGAAAACCTGCTCCACACGTGTATCACTTTCCCCACTTTTATTTGCATGGCGTGCGGGGGTCTCAACGCTCTTGACCCACATTCTCGCAACAATGCAAATTTATATTAAAACAGAAGAGGGAAAATAATAACAAACGGCTCTATGGCAGATGACAGTGTGCCGGTGTGTGTGAGTTCCATTAGCGAAAGTGCAAATCCGTGACGTGTGCTTAGTAATTGTGTCAGAAATAATAAACAAAAACATACCCAGACACGCACATAATGAGCAGAGGTAGACCCACAAGGTGTTTTCGTGTGGGAAACACCGAATCGGAGACACTCTGCACTCTGCAATCCATAATAATTGGAAGAATATTGCTCGAGCTAAGAAGAGCTTACTATTACCAATACAGTACATATATTTAATCATACCTTGCCAAAGATATGGAGTGGATATTTAAATTCATTGCAAGCGAAGGCAGCCTTCAAAGTGATATTAATTTATGGCTAATATAGCAAAGAAAAAATACAAAATATACGCACAACTCCTCAAACGCGGAAGAACAAATTGAGGTGATCGCCAAAGTTGTAGTAGTTCACAAGCCACTCATTCGCGCCAGTGTCCAAGATCTTCAAGTACGCCCAGGTGCGTATGCAAATCGAGTAGAAATTGGCCAGAGCCAGGAGCTTCATGAGCAGACCGACCACCAATAGGCAGACCGTCCTACCGCTTCTGACACTCCCATCACCCTGGGTCACATAGACAACGCCGAGGCACGTGGTGATGGTGGTGATAGTCCAGCAAAAGACGAAGACTACGATGTAGACTATCGGCAAGATGAGCAGGCGCACTTGCAGCGGCGGTATGACCACTTCAACGTCCAAAATTCGGACTCCAACGAGTCTGCAGTGACAGCAGTAGAACAGATTGCACAGCACCACGAGGATCAGGGTTAGAATGTACACCTCCGCCCACAAATCGTTATTCAAAATCGTCCTGTAGGCGACTTTAAAGCTGCGTGTTCTGGACCAGAATGTTGTCTCCCAGATCTCATGGGGAAACGGCATGATGGCGGCCAAGTGCAGTATACCCCACAGATAGAGTACACTCAAATAAGAGCGGAGCAGCACCATTACACATCGATTGCACTTGTAGACGGTTTGTTGTTCAGGCATCTTGAGCTTACACAGGCTCCTTTTCAGTTATAGCTTGTGGGCTAAAAGTTAAAAGCCAAATGCCAAAGGCACAGACAGTGAAATACTTAGTATTTCCTTCAGGCTTGATTCCTGAAACGATTTCTATATCAGTGAGCACTAGGGATCGAGCATTTTGGTTTGTAATGTTTCATATCAATTCACAGAAGAATAGACTGCACTTGGGCTATGTTTTGAATTTGGTTTTTAAAAGAACCACAAATATTTTACCAGTTGCAGACAGGAAGTAGGAAAGTAGAGGGAAGATTCAGATAACTTGATGCCCCAAATCCTCCAGCAGAAAGTGTGCTGATTGCTGCATTTGTCATTGTCGGAATCCAGTCATAATTACGGCGCTGTCATAAATATACATTTTAATTAGCCAAGCCAGACGGTTGCACTGCGCGACAGGACACCATCGTGCAACATCTGCTGCGAGCTGTGAGTCCAATTTGATTTAAATCATGCGAAATGGCCGTCCGACATGCCACATGCCACACGCGCCGTTCACCTGGCTCGCAGATTCCAGGCCGTTGCCAACTTTTGTGGGCCCTTCGAAAAGGGACAAATTGTGAGAAATGAAGCATGATAATAAGCCGCTAAATGGAATTTTTAAGCCAAGCGTTTTTCGTACGCGGTGGGGAGTGGGCTTTTGCGGTTGCCAAGATTTGTCATTCCATTTTGGCCAGCTACTTTTGCTTCTTGCTGGCCATAAGGACACACAGCCATAAGGACTAAGCCCATTTTTCAATTTCCGCCAGAACAAAGTCTTGTGGTTTGTCCACCGCACTGCTGCCTTCTGTCTTCTCGGTCCTTGCTCATTTCCATGGGGCTGTTATCGAAGCAAATAAATCTTCTGGAAGGACAAACAGTCAACCTTTGAGGAATACTTATTGGTTTTCCTCCGCCTGCTTACATTACTACGCTTTGTGCAAATTGTGCAAAACATCTAGAGCGTTATTCGCAGATGGGATCTTTGCCGGGAAATTCAAACAAAACTTTAATTAATATTAATCCTTTGCGCATAAGCCGATTACGGATTATTAAACAATATGGGGATACCTTGCTGATAAACTCATTAAAACTTTGCCAGAATTCAAGTCAATCCTGCCCATAATTAACTGGATTAGGGGCTTGCCAGGATCTACATATTTAAGGGATTGAAAATTGCGTGGCACAAGTTGGGGCTCCTGAAATATTCATCTATTAATTTGTCTACACTTAAATTTGTGCGCTCATTAATTCTACAACATAAAGCCCAGTGCGAAATTTGCATGACTCGAACAGCAAAGCAAATCGCATTTAAGCAAGCAATTAAATATTAAGCAAGTGAATTTTACGGTAGCCTCAATAAACAAGTTGGATAAAGGTCGTGAGCAAAAAGAAGGTTTCCCACATAGGTGCTAGAATTGCTGAAATATTTAAGGGCACCCACCGACTGCGAACAAGCTAAGCGTTTGGCAGTGGCTAAATAAATACCTGACCTCCACCTGTCACCCGGGAAAGTCCATATATGCAGGCCACCAAGCGGCTTCCTACATTTTCTTGTCTATTTTGGCCTGCTTTGCGGGCCACCTGTGTGTGTATCTATATACACGTACTAAAATATATTTAGATACATATTATGTGTGCGGCATTTCTTGGGGGAAGCAAAAAATCGCCAATTCAGCGGCTGAAACGCTGTTTTTAGCTGGCCTGCTGCTTATTGCGTGTTTCATGTCAATGTTGTCGTTTCTCCTGTTTTTTCTTGCCTCTTTTTTTGTAATTTGTTGCATGTTTTTTGGATCCGCCTTTCTGTTAGCCCGACAACAGGCGGAGCACTTAACATTATACTTAAATGGCTTGGCCTGACATTGTTGGTTTTTTGTGGGTCTCCCGGCGGTGTAAATGGAATTACAAGCTTGCTTAAAACCGAAAATCCAATTAGGAGAACGCGCTGCGCTGCTGTTTTATCGCAGTTGCTGATGTAGTTGATGTTGCTGCTGGGAGAACTAGCAGCCACCTCACGAACAGGTCCTTAAAGATGGCACATCACTCGAGATTACACACAGGATTACGCCGCAAATATAAATACTCGTACTTGTATGTAAGCCATTGCGTTAAAAGTGCGTAAACACCCACACTCTATGTGTTCATCATCATAATGTGTTTGGTTTTCAGTAAACCGCAATTGGCTTTTTCCCCTCCAATTAAGTTTCGTCGAGCAACAGGATACACGTATCGCATATCCCATAAATTAAGCAAACCGAGCCTAATGCTCGTCCACAATTCATCATAATCGAATGGAATCCGCCAGCAATTAACGCAGACAACCATCCGGATGCAGTTCAATTACCATGGTCCTTTGGCACGCATTTTAGACCAGTGTTTTTGGGGGCCGGCATGCTGTGGGTTTGTGGCCATTAGTAATTATTAGGGGGAGCGCGATTATGCAAACAGAGAATCGGGGCCAAACCAGGACGCAGACACAAACAAATTGGTCAGTCAGGCTTCGGGCCAAATAGGTAGGTGACTTACAGCTTATGCAAGTACAGTATATCTACAGATGGCTCCTCGTTGTCTATGCACTTTGTGCACAAAGGCATGGGTTGTAAGTCAAAAACCCAGGCGAAGCCGCAAATGCGAAGTGCACACACGTACAAGAAAATATCCTTAAATGCCTTTCGATAGTCCCTTTGTGTGCGTACGTGCATGTGTGTTGGCCATTGCATTTGCATACCAAATGGGCTAAATCGCAGTTTTGGGCTCAGAAATTGCATTCGCCTGGTCGTGCATATGTGTGTGCCTCAATTTTTTGCTCAGCCCTCTACTAAACAAAAGTTCTTTGTGGTCGTTGTTTTTATTGTTTTACAATTTCGCAGTATGCCAACGGCGAGTTTACAACTAGGCCAACACCATTAGCTTGTCGTTGTTGGCCGCCTGCTAGCGATAACTGTGAATAATGATGAACTGGAACTTCTAACTGGCTTACTTCGGATAAGCCAGGCGTGTCTGATATGCTGGCTAAATGTGGGATAAGGCCATGAAGTGGATCTAGCTATGCAGAACAGAGGCGTTCGGAAAACCTATGGCTCTTTTTTAAATTTAATGCAAATTTCCTTAAACTTAAACATGGGCAGAAACCATATTGAGTTTGTTGAAACCAATAATTCGGCTTGCGCTATATAAATTATGTATCCATACTGCAACAGACACATCCAGTGGCGTCAAGTATTTCTGAAAGTCTAGACATCTTGTGCCGCTTTCGATTGTAACCATGGCAAATGGAATCATTTGAGATTTATGAGACAGTTCTGATTATGAGTTATTCGGCCAAAGTTTTTAAATTAACCAAGCCCCGCAAGCCATTCGCGCCCATTCCATTCAGCGCCTCTAATTGAGTATGTGCTCGGTCACAAAGAAGCATCCTCGCCGTGTCCTCATCGCATCCTTTGAGTTCTCAGGCGAGTCTAATTAGCCGTCGCACAAATGTACGTTTGAATGGTGCGAGTATGCATAAGAAGGATACGCCTTTCGAGACCCACCAGGCACTATAATTAAGCCTGTGGAGGCGGCTCACACGTGAGCACTTGCAATGCAAACTGAATTGTTGTCTGGCTGAGGAGCAGAGGGCTTCTAATGCGGTTGCGTATACGCCCCGATGACAGCCTCTGACTTTTTAATGAGCCTTGCTACTTCTTGCTACTCCTTGTGCCCTAGGCAAATGATAGCTGAAAACTGTCAGCGCCTGGAACGTCCTTTGTCCTAATAGGGTTAAGCCGTCTTCAAGATTTTCATTATTTATGTGGCTGGCGGATCAGCAGGGGCACAGCGATTAAATACCCAATGGCTGACACCGCCATATCCAATCCCATGCGCAAACTTCCAAGGAAAGATTCGCTGGCTGGGGAGGCACAAACTTTCCCTCTTGTCGCGCTGCCAAGTGACAAATATTTTTGCTGAAAATACTCGTATATTGCGTAACACGGAAAGTTTGTATTCCGCCTGGCAGGCGGGGGACCAAACTGTAATTTCAGCTTGTATACCCAACTTGAAGTCGAAGTTGTTGCGTAAGCCCGCTGATTTGACGACAATGTGTGCTGCAAGGGACTCCACAATGCTCGAAGGGATCAGCTGCAGGACTCGATAGCTCCAAAAGCGATTCTCAGGAAAGTTTCTCCTTCTCGTCTTGCAAGTGCAACACCTTTGGGACACTCAGCGGAATATCGTACTTTCAGATTAGGAAACTATCTGGCTTTTCATGTGCTGTCATAATTTCAATAGGTTTAGGTAAATATAGTCTGCTCTAAAATGTTGAAGGTACAGAAATGAAAAGCATGTATAAATGTATATTAATATGTGTTTTTCGGGGCTTTTCTGGTAGCTAAGCCATTTTAATGCCAGTGTGGGCACTTCGCTTACAGCTTCGGGCATTTGATTAAATCTCCGACCCAAGCTGCCGCCTTTGGACACCTTTGGGCTCTTTGTCCTGGGACCCTAAACCTGAAACCTGGATCATCCACTTACCCTTGTCGTTGGGATCGAATTCAGCCTCTAGCTCGGCTTTGGTTGGCTCTGCGGATGCGGCTGCCTCGGCGGCTGCTGCCGATGGAGCTGCTCCGGCGGCACTGCCGTTGTTGGTCGCAGTTTTGGTTTCCGATTTTTTCATGGTTTCTCTCACTTTGTGGCCTCGAAAGACGGCTTGGATTTTTGTGGCGGCTTTTGCTGCAATTAAAAGTGGAGACACGGATGAGCGAAATTAATGGGAGTTCAATGGTCAAGGCAATTTAATACTTTACAATAAGTCACTTAAAGTCACAAAATGTCAATGATATACTTTAAAGCCATCGCTCATTTGTGAGACTTCTTTATAGATTCCGTTTGAAATGCTCTGCCTTCGATTTCGAAGGAAATGAGTTTTATGACCTGGCTAACATGTGCTGCGAGCTTCAATGACGGACAAACTTTTGCTTTGGCACATCATCAACAGTTCTTAAACTTCAGTTGCAGCTTTCAAACAATTAACTTCAAAGGGGCCGCCTCCTGGTCGTTCCCCCCGGCCAAATAGCCGCCCCCCGAGCCACTCAATCGATTTTGAATCGAGCTGAGCGAGTTTTCGCCATTTTTCGTTTTTGGCCACCAGCCAGAGGAGTTGGCTCAAAGGAAGAAGGGTGGAAAAGGACGATGGCAAAGGGCACATTCCGCTGTGCTAATAAACTAGAAGCGCAAGTTTTGCTGGAAAATGGTAAGGAGGAGGGGCTTTGTGCAATAAACAGAAATATAGTGGGCATGTTTCTGCTTCCCCATTTTGTGGCCCACTCATGGTGCTCCTCGTGTTGGTTGCCTGGGTCAGCATTTATTTTTTATGGCATTTTTCACGCAGATACCGAAGAAGAGAACTGTGTCGGCCTTGAATAAGTTATAATAAATTGACACGTAAGGCTTTCGGTTCGGTATTTCGGGCAAACACTATCAATAAGGCAAAGCAATGCCGAAGGAGGAATGGTTTCTAAAAAATAGTTGTTTGTGCTTGGCACAAGGTTGCTCCTCCGGTGGGCGGGGCGGCAAGTGGGTGGGATGAGGGCGATACGTGCTAACGGCAGGGTGTGGCAAGGTTGAGCTGTCAAGTGGCGAGTGCTGTGCTTTTAATAGCTGCCCATTCTGCTGGCCGCGCTATTAAATCATCGAATATCCCGCATTAAGATTGGGCCCAAACGGCATTGAGTTCTAGTTGCGCTTTAAGGATTATTTCCTTTGCCATGGTTTCCATTTTATCGAGTTCGCATTAAATGAAAACAGATTTATTCTCTGCCTGGGGCCTTTTTGCTCGTAAAAAAATCGTACGTTTTTTTTTAATAAATTCCCACAAAGCCGTAAAATGTTGTATTTGTTTTCCACGCCGGATTGTGCTACTTTAACGCTGAATTGCATTTATTAAACTGCCATCTGCTTCATTTGCGTACTGGGCTATAAACTCTCCAGTGGACACCTCACAACATCAACAATTTAAGAACCCAGAAGTTATGTTTAAAATATTTAAACAATGAAACAATATGTGTTCGATAAATTAAAAATGCAAGAGTCAAACAGTGCTTTGTTTTTGGCCGCATATCGCAAGTTTTCATTTCATTTTTAATTAGAATTTGTGTGTTTCATTTTAATTGGTTAGTTCTGCCGAAGCTTAAAATGAGCACAATGTGGCATTAATAAATTATTATTAGAAACTAACAGCGAGAAAACGGAAATTTTCGCAGCTCATATAACATAATACCGGTGCCTAATGGCCGCAGCTTTAGTGCGACTATAAAATGCAGTGAATTATGCCAGGCAAGGATATTAAATAAATTTTGCATGCGGCTCATTAAACCTGACAGCCACAGAAAAAACAAAATTAATGCCAGGTGAAACATGCCAGAAAGGTCCCAGTGGCAACCAAAATTGAATAACCACAGAGAGCATTCACACACCTGTATCATCCAGGCAGCCAGGCAGCCAGGTAACCAGGTATGTGAGTAAAGTGCCTGACACTAAACTCAACACGCACCCAATTACCCACAACGTACTCCCAATATGGTGCCAGGAACAGAGGACGTAATGCCGCACGTGTAAGGCCATCTTCCCACTTAATTCATTCATAATTCGCCATTTGCCATTCGCCAGGTCATAACCCGGAATCACTTCCGCTTCCGGCAGCAGAAATATGATTAAATTTGTCAAGCTCGACGGTTTTTCTTTCTCTGCTCCATTATGAGCCCCTTTGCAGGAATCGGAGTTCGAGTTCCGACTGTGCCACAATGACCAAGTGAGTTATTTACGCAATTAAAATTCATTAGCTCAAGGCTCTTATTCCTGCTCATTTTCCTTTCTTCTGCTCTTTCCTTCTGACAACTGTCGTTTGTTCTGCTGGGAATCTGAAAAACGTTTTCCTTCCTAACTAATGCAATTCCAGCAGTCGGCTTCGTGGAATGGAGTTGTATTCGGATCGAAGGCAATTACGTAAATAGTTTTAAGCCTGCTTTGTTTCATAAAAATCACCATGGTACCCATTGTATAATTTACTTGAATTTTTCAATGAAATACTTTCTGCATGGCATAGCCTGCAACAAATTACGTACAATTTATTATTTTAATTAAATTGCTGGTTGTCAAGCGGTTGCTGCAATTTTATTTGAATTTCGCTTGGCATTAAAACGTATACTCAGGTGCCCCAGTTTCTTCCACAACAAAAAAAGGGAAAATAATAAAATCCTAACCGGAGGGTGAACAATGCCTGGGGAATATTAAAACGAATGAGTTATGCACGAGAACAGAGCCAGAAGAGCAGCAGGAAAAACTTGGCCCAGCTGCTTCTTGGCCTTAGCAACATAAACAGCGGGCTCAGTCGAGCCAGAACTTAAATAAATAAGAAAGACAGCAAACAGCGAAGCCATAACAGCAAACAGCGATCTGCTTCTTAGATTTCTCTCCATTTAGGAAGGACAATTTAATTTATAAGGATTTCCGGCTTGCTACTGGACTGACAAAGTAAACTGTAATTTGGGTGGACAATGAAACGAAATGTGAGACGCTCTCGAGAGAATCTGGATTTAGTGAAGATTATTTTTACTTGAACTTATCTTTAGACTCTCTAGACTAAGTTATTGAGATAGGATAGATTTGTTTTCCTTAAAAGCACAACAAAAGTCTCGTCAGTAAATGTGGCGCCCAACATGGGATCATAGTTTTAGATTTCTCATCAGCCAGCATTCTCCAGATTTATGTTCATAATAGCTGCTTAAATAAGGAATTTAATAAAAGAAAACCTCAGAACTTAACTGAAACTCATCAGTATCTAATATTAACATGGGGTTTTTAACCCAAACTCCTATGTGAGCAGTTTTCAGATTCTGTTTTTGGGGTTTCCTTAGCCACACATGCCTCGTTAACCTGACTGCCAGTTGTTTTGTGCCACCCCTGACAGCTATTTAAGCTTGACAATCTCCATTAAATGTTCATATACAGCTTGGCAAACTTTTTCCCACTGACATTCACTTATCTAGTCACTTAGGTCCATCGCTCCTCTTACCAATTTACCAACTTACCACTTCACCACATTTTCTAGCCTGGGTGGATGGATTGAAATGATCTATTTGTGGCTGTTTTGTGCATGTATGTCATATTTGGGTGGCAAATTAATAGCGCACAAGTAAATTTATTTATTTATGGCATCTGGTTTTGCTTTCTGTAATTCAACTGATATCCAGCAGACACTCAACGTTTTGTGCACTCATAAATAATGTTGTTGATTTATATTATTTATTTCCGTGACTGTTTGTGAATGGCTGCCATGTTCGTTTGTTTGCGCTCTAATTTCTACTATTTTAATAGCGTTTTCAGTGTGCGTGGCAAATATCGCCCGCCCCTTTACAATCCGTGACCTTGTCTGATTACGGTTTTATAAAACGCCAACATTTATCAGAAGAATTTGTTCTTGCTGCGGGGCTCACGAAATGGAAATGTTTGTCGCACGTGCTGGCGACCACAAATAGGGAATGGCAACATTTCTGGTAAATTGTAATACAGTGCAGTGGAGAGAACCCACACTATGTCAATCAGAAACAGTTGTGGTTTATCGATTGATACTTTGTAGTCTTCCATTCCCAATCATATAACTTTCCGGAGTTCAACTCTTTGCGGCAGGCACAAGCAAGGGGAGTTTATATAGAGCAATTTGCTTAACTGGGCCCACCTAATTGCTGGGCTTAGCTCCAGGAAATTATGTACAGAACCCAACGGTCAGAATGTGCCATAAATTACTGGCTCTTATCTGAGTTGAATGTGACTTACCAACACTGGCTGCTGGCACTCACAATCAGATTGCCCATAATAAACAGGCTTTGCATAATTAAACTCAGGCAAACCACAATTCCTACAATGCACATGTATGAAAGCGGACAGCAAAGCGAAGGACTGGGACATCATCATTCATGCGAATGGCGTTGATAAAAACCAATTTAAACGAAAAAGCTAACCATTAATTTCTGTTATAATTTATAACTTCATATTTGAAGTTTAACATTCATCTACCAAATTCAAACTTGATTGACTGCCTTTAATTGATTCGTATATGTCCGAATATGCATGAATACATAATTCAATTACCATGCAATTTGTATAGTTTCACTTGGCCATCGGTGCCAGTTAAAAATTGAAATTCGCAAAAGTTACGCATACGCTCCGTAGGCCCGGAAAAAGGCTGTTTGATATGCAAGAAGGGGCCGTCCAGAAAATTATGAAGACGAAGCAGCTGATGACACCATTGAGCCTTAGTCCCAATTGGGCAATCGACAATAAGGCTTAATCCAGTCACGTCCCACTTTTGAGACAATCTGTTTACGTGCCCGAATATATTTCATTTCTCTACTCGCTGGTCGTATTGTTACGTTACGTTTGGTAAAATATTCACAGTCAGAAAATCTGCATGGCTGTGGAAAACCACTAATTGGAAATTCAATTAGCTGCCGTAGTTGAAGAAAAGTTTCAAATTAATTTTACAATTGTCTAAACTTTTCCCTTAAGTTTGTCAGCACTTGATGAGTTTGTTCAGAGCAAAGCGGGGGGTATTTTTTATATTTAATGGCACAACATTTTAGAGTCACAGCTTTACATTTACGACGTAACTATTTTCTAAGTCTGAAGCTGGGGGCTGCAAGTTTGCCGGATGTGTTGAGCAGTGTTTACATTTT